CACAAAATGAAATGTTTCCTTTAGATTTCAAGTGTTTTTTATGTTTTCACCTTTTTTAAAAAAAAAAAATAGAATTAAAGGAAAATTCAAAAACGTCCAGTCATTTTGACCCCCAAAAATCAAATCATTTCAACTTTGGGAGATTTGTTTGTTTGTTTGTTTTTCAACGTGAACAATTCAGGTGTTCTGATCTGAAACTGATGTGAATTCACAAAACATTTTGATGCTGCTGAATCTGCCTGTTTTTACAATGCTCGGGGCTTGTCTGCACGTACAGTGCAACAGCGGCGCAGCGGCCTCGGTAGTGCTTTAGGCCACGTCTACACTGCCACTTATGTCGGCAAAACTTACTTCGGTCACAGTTCTTCTCCCGCTGACATAGCTACCGCCGCTCATTGGGGTGGTTTAATTATGCCGACAGGAAAGCTCTCTCCTGCCGGCATAGGGCGGCTACACAGGAGATCTTACAGCGGCACAGCTGCATTGGTACAGCTGTGCCGCTGTAAGGTCTCTAGTGTGGACATAGTCTTAGTGAAACTCTCCTATCGGCATAGGAATGTCTTCTCCTGTTCCTGTAGTTAATCTACCTCCCCAAGAGGCAGTAGCTATATTGGTGGAAGAAGCTTCCCCATCAACATAGCGCTGTCTACACGGGGGGTTAAGTCAGTGTAAGTACGTTGCTCAGGGGGGTGGATTTTTCACACCCTTGAGTGACGTCTTTATTCCGATATAGATCTGTAGTGTAGACCTGGCCTGAGCTCTAGTCTCAGGAAGGGTTCACCTACACCACCGCAGACTGTGGCTGCTAGCTGCTTTGCTTGTCTACAGGAGGGGTTTGCTCTGGTGTAGCTCCACCATTGGCTGGCAACTTATGGCTGAAGTCCTCACTACGACAAGGCCTTAGATCTGGGTGGGCTTCCTGATACTCTTATAAATGAATGGCTGTTCTCTTAAAGCTGCAGATGGACCATATAGGTTACTAGGTCAACTGTGTAGGAGACAGAGCTGCTATTTGCAGATGGCTGTTTGGTGGCATGTATGAAATGAGTTTGCTGGGCCTCAGTGGCAAGTGCCCACATCACAAAAACAGACACGTTTGCAGCTAGCACCCTGGGAGAGGTTAAGTGCTGCAGGGGCCATGGGGACTAACCTACCCTAGGAGATATGGCTGCACCACAATTGCTAATGCTGTTGGGTCACACATCAACTAAAAACTATACGTTGTAGTAGAGCAATGCTTCCAGCTCAGGTTGGAGGTGCATTGGAGGGACAGTTCACACACACGGTTATTACCTTTGCTGTTACCTAAGTTCTGCAAAAAGGAAAGATTTCAATTTCTAGGGCTATCAATCTGGCACTTTTCACCTGAAGTAAATTCACACACGTGCACACCCAGAGAGAGAGAGAAACTGCTGCCAGAAGCATGCAGTGAAGGAGTTAATAATCTTCTGATGTAACAGAAACAAAGCAGAAGCGGAGGGGGGAAATACCCATTATCAAGGGGCTACCATCTTCTCCCATTTCATTAAAAATAAGCATCTTCCCTTTGATTCCACTCTCATTGCCAATAAAATCCACTACTCTCAGGTGACAGAGAATGTCATCCTAAAATAATGTGCTTTGCATTGTTTTTAAGGTAAAATGCTAAGTGAGTACTGGGGACATCAAAGATCAAGGGTGTGTGATACTATGCCCATAAACTCAATGGGAGTAGAATCACACCTTATGAGACAAAGTAGGAGACATTCCCCCCCAGAGGGTGTAAAGGTCTAACTGGGGTGGGGGGCAAGGACAGAATTATGATTTTTTTTCCTCCAGAGTTTCAGCTTTCACTAGAAAAAAAAATCTGTGTCAGTCATGATTACCAAGAAAACCTTCCATAAGTGACCCAAGTATAACTGATACAGCAACCTCTTCTTGAGTTTGAAGAGTGGCTGACACAATAGCTCTCGGCCCCCTTCATTTCAAAGGGGGATAGCTCAGATACAATGATACTTTAAAATGTCAACATTGTTAACTATTTTGCTGCTTATCATGTAAGAAGCGAAAGGCAGTATCATATTGCTTGAAACTTTCTTATTCCCATGAGATCAAATCCTGAAGTTCTTAGCAAAAAATCTACAGCAATTAGAGCTGATCAGGAAATGATTATTTTTTCCCATGAAAATTTTTGACAAACATAATTTTTGTCTATATTTTTATTCGGAACAATTCTGGTTTTTATCACAAAACTGTAAACCAAACATTTTCAGGTTTTCAGCAATCAAAAAAACAAAATGTTTAATTTTCAAATCAAAATTTTCTGGTTCTCTCCCCCGCCAATGAAAATCCCAATATTGTTGATAAAAACATCTATTTTTTCACAAAAAATTCTCTTTTGTCAAAAAGCCACTTTCTGTCAAAAAATGTTTTGGAGAGAAAAATTTCAGCCCGTGCTAATCACAAGGTGTAAGGGTGTAAACATGTAACAAATTGGAAAATGGTGATTCTACTCCTGTGCCCTCTCCCCCATTGACTCTCTGGTCTATTTAGATTGTAAGCGCTTTGAGGCAGGGGCTGACACTCCGTGCGTACAGCACCAAGCACAAGGGGACCCTGCTCTAGGGTAGAGGCCTGTAGGTGCAATCATAATTCTGGCCTTAAATGCTATAAGTATGACTAATCCAAAAGGGATAAAACACAAAGGCACTGCCACTGCATCCAACTTTAGGAAATTAATCCAGTCAAAAGCCTTTACATTCCATATTTTTAATTGTGATTTTTTTCCCTTCTATCTGAAAACATACATTTATGCTCTTTTGATTTTTTCCCTTTGACTCCAGTTCCCCTGCTGTAACCACTAGGCCATGCCAAATCCCTTGTAAAGGCGTGCTCCTTTTGCACACGCACACACACCATTTTCGTGCTCACCTTGTAGGTGCAAATGAGGCACAGATGCCTGAAACTGTGACTCCAGATGAGCAAAGGCTGGGGAGGCAGGATGAGCCTCTCCCAAAGCTGAGGAAGGAAATGAGCACAAGAAAGGATTGGGGTAAAAGAGCAGAAAGCCAGAGGGTTCCTAAAACCATAGGCAAGGGGGGAGTTTTGGCTCTTTAGGAACTAACGGGAACTCAGGACTCTGAGAAAATAGTCTCCTGCCAGCGAGTGGGATAAAGGAAGCAGGAAAGTTGTGCATAAGGGAGAATTAATGGGACTAAAAGAACCCTGCCCCATGACTTAGGGCATGTCTACACTACAAAAATCAGTTAACTTAAGGTAAGTTGATGTATACCCACTGCAGCAATTACAGTGGTGGTTCACGTCCACACTGTGCGGTGTGAGTCCTCAGCAGAGCGCATCCACTGACTTAACTGTGTGGGGGCACTGACAGCTGGAGCCCCACTGCCAGGGGCTGACAGCCCCAGGGCTGGGGGCTCCAGCTGTGGCGGGGGCTCTCCCAAGCAGCGGGGTTCTAGCTGTGAGTCCTGCATAGGGCTGGCAGCCAACAGGCGATGTAAGCAATGCAGTGTGTAGAGGGACACTGCAGCGCCCTAACATCGACCTTAACGCTATGCCTCTCATGGAGGTGAAGTTATTAGGTCGGTGTAGTGGGCAACTTACATCGGCAGGCGCATCATTATAGTGTAGACGCTTGCAGAGTTAGGGTGATGTAAGCTGCCTTGTGTTGACCTAACTCTGTTGTGTAGACCAGGCCTCTGGGTCTGTGTCAGCTGCCCCCAGAAATCCAATCAAGAGAGCTCTCTTCCTCCTTCCCAACGAAGAGGAGGAGAGGCATTGCCAGTCTGACTCCAGGGCAGGTTTCCCAAGGTCCTTAATACTAAGGCTATGGCTACACTACGCAGCTTTTAGCGACACGGCTGTGCCGCTACAGCCGTGCCGTTAAAAGCCGCACAGTGTAGCTGCTGTTTGTCGTCAGGAGAGAGCTCTCCTGCAGACAAAAAACTTCCACCTCTCATGAATGGCAGCAGCTTTGTCGGCAGGAGGGCTGTTCACACCGGCGCTTTTCGTCCGTAAAACTTTTGTCGTTCAGGGTCTGTGTGTGTGTGTGTTTTTTAACACCCCTGAACGACAAAAGTTTTGCGATGAAGTGCCAGTGTAGACAAACCCTTAGTCTTGGTCTACTCTTGAAAGTTATATCGGTACAGGAGCATGAAAAGCTTCACCCCTGGCCTGTGTAGTGATGCCAGCATAACCCCGAGTAGACACAGCTAGGTCAACAGAAGCATGCATCATCATTCGGGATGATCATGTTCTTATCCTGATGGAAACCCCTTCTGTCAGCGTAGGCCGCATCTACACTACAGGGTTGTGCTAGCAGACCTATGCCAGTATAGTCTCCATAATGTGGGCACACCCTGGGGTTCAGGGCCACAGGCTTCCAGCTCAGAGAGAGCTGAGGCACACTCAAGGCCGATGCTGCTGCCATTTAAGGTCATGGCCTCGGAGAGCCGTAGGACCTGACTGACAGGCCTTGTCTGCCGTCCATCCCGTGCTGGAGGCATTATAAAGCTACAGCCCACGTACTGTGCAGCGCAGCCCTGCTTGCAGAGTCACCCAATACAGCTGTGAGGTTACTGTCCAGACTCATTGTCTAGCAATATTACAATCCTCCCTCTAGTCTACATTATGTCAGGCCACAGAAAAACTGCAGGGCTGGGCTTAAAGCCAGTCAAGTGACTGCCTAGAACCGCTGAGCTTTGGAGAAGTTAGGGGGCTCCCGCTGACGTCAATGGGCTTGGGTCAGCGGGCTGGGGGGCAGTGGGTTGTGAGTTGCTGAGGTTAATGCAGGGCCCTAAAAGCAACTCACATCATGGCCCAGTTCCCGTCTTCACCTGTTTTCTAGCCCCGATACTGAAGTGGGAGGCAACTCCCAGCCTCATTTCCCCCCTCCACTCCCTCCCTCCCTCCCACCCACCCTGCAGCTTGGGTCCCCACAGCTCCCACAGCCAGGCCCGGAGAGTCACTTGACTTTTGAGATATGTACCGGTCAAGTTCATTACCCTTAGTCTTCCCCAGTGCTGTGGAGGGGGTCTCTGGCCGGGGCATGGGCATAAAGTCAGCCCAGAGAGATGTACGCTGCCTGAGAAACTCTGCTAGCAATTCAGCAATCGGCACCAGGCGAGTAGGCTCCACTTCCTCAGGGCCCAGGAGGCAGGTAGACGTCCGGCAGGGAGGCTCGCAGAAGCTGTGCGGTTTCTTGGCCTTCCCCTGCAAAGATGAAAGTCAGGTCACACAGGCTGGAAGCCAGCAGAGCACATGCCCAGAGGTGAGCTAGCACGCTCAGAACATTAGCTCCTGGTCTCAGGAACATGCCCCAAGAGGCTGCCTTTACTACACACCATCCCCTAACATCACAGGGGGTATTGATTGATTCCCAGACAAGGTAAGAGGTTTACAATGTGTTTGGTAAATCCATGGGGTTGGGCTTTTCTGTTACCTGGCAAGGACTTGATTATTTAATTGATCTGATTAGTCAATAGGCCAAATTCATCCTTGGTGCAACTGCGCTAACTTCAGTGGGACTGCACCAAGGATCAGGCCGGCCCAGCTGTTTGTACGGCCCAGTGGAAATGGAAAGAACGATATAAGTGCAATGTACAATTAGTGAATCATTAGTAACTGTTCTTGTGTATTGATTATAAGGACCAGTTCTCCTCAGCCTGGAGCTGGGAACTGGCCACACACCTGATGAGGCAGCACTCTCCTGAGACAGCAGCCAGCCAGCCACAGAGGGCTGCTAACCTACATGGCTGAAAGGCTGCCATGCAGGTGTGTCTGCAACCTGTCCCTGCCTGGGACAGGCCTATTAACTAATCAGATTAATTCAGAGGCTTTAATAGGTGCAGTCCTTTTGATTTCCACTTACCCCAAGAGTGACTCTGGCCCCTGAGCTCCCATTTCTCAGCCCAGTATCAGGAAAGGCCCCATGATGGCACAAGGCCTAATCAGCAGAAGTGAGCTATAAACTGTGTCTGCACAGACAGGTCTTCTTGCTGAGGAATTATATTGTTTGTGCCATGCCTGCAGCAGGGAAGGTGAGAGAATGTGCCATGCCTTCTTCCCCTTCGATACCGACTTAATTGTCAGAAGAGGAACAAGGCTCTTTAATGATTAAACATTGCAATTAAATATTAAACAGCCAACTTCTTCTTCTGACGTTAAGGCAGCAGCTGACCTAGATGGGAGTTGCTTTACAGTTTATGCTACTGGGCCCCTCTTGTGCCCGGGCTATAAACCAGGCCAGGTTTCAGACAGTAGCTGCTAGCACCCAATGCCTTTAAAGTGCCGTGTGACTCCATTTGAGCCAACAGTGTTGCCCTGATGTTTATACTGGCAGCGTGATCCTTAAAAGATTTTAAACCCGTCACCTTTCCCTGATTATTAAATGAACGGCATGTGGTATCAGCGAGCACTGGGACACAGCTTTGGTACATACAAGAGTGAGCTCTGGACCCCCTTGGGCATTTATCAACCACAACACATGGGTCTTCAATCAGCTGTTATTAGCTCATAACACAGGGTGAGTATTTCGTCAGATTAAGTGCATATTTAGGAATTTGAATCTCTTTGCTGCTCCCTCGTTTGACCCACATTTACCCCTGCTGTTGTATTCATTGGAGACCCCCCTTGAAATGATTAGACCTGCCTAGCAGGTAGGGAAGACAGCCATGAAGAGGTTAATTTGTAAGCATTGCCATCTGAGGCCCTGTCTGTACTAGGAACGCTTACCTCTCCACTGCAAGACAGTTGGAGGCGACATCTGTTCCTATACAACCCAGTCCAGCCCAACCCCCGCCCCCACACAGAGAAGTAACTCACATACATAAACAACTCATGCACTTAAAAGCAAGGTCAATACATAGCTGCTTCGGTGAGAGGTCTTTAAAAACCACACCCCTGACCAGCATAACTCTGATGACCTAACTCCCAGTGTAGCCACAGCTATGTCGATGGAAGAATGTTTCCACCAATGTAGCTACCATTGTTCAGGCACCAGGTGTTCCTACATGGAAAAGCTGCTTTCATCAGGGTCGGCTGCATCCACACTACAGGGTTATGCCGGCATAGCTTTGGCGACATAGCTATGTCAATGTAGTCTCTGTAGTGTACACATACCCTTACATAGAAACAAGCACGTACACACTCTCACACATCCGCTTCCAAATATTGTGCCCACTCCTTCAGAGGCTGTTTTATAGAGAACCACATTCTGTAGACATCCACTTATATAATAATAATATTAACCGTCATCATTAAGAGGAACAACACTGCCCACATGAACCAGAATCTACATGGTCCAAACAAGATTAATACATATTTCTTTAGCATACAAAATTAGTTACTTGCAGCCAGCCATGAAAAGATGACCTACAAATGCTTAATGCGCTTCTGGAAGGTGCTCAGATACTATGGTGCTAAGGGTGGTATAAGAACCTATATACAATAGAATAGCAAGGTAATTTCTTAAAAATGGGATATTGCCTAGTTTTGCCTCTTTATGAGGAATAAGAATGATTGAGTGGATTTTTGTTGATGGGTGGGGTTTTTTAAAGTATTTTCTATTTTGTTTTACCTTAAAAATATCAGGAATATCAAAAATCTGGTGCCCCCTTGTTTTTCCTGGAGAACTTGCTGGAGGTCTCACATTAATACTGGGAGATTTCTTAAACCTTAATTAAAAGAGTGCTGTTGACATTTTCACAAAGACTTTTTTCTTCCAAGTGTTTATTAGGTGTTTGGCTTAATGTTAATATTAACAAAAGTAAGCAAACAAAGAGTTTTAAACAATCTGCCTCCCCCCTGCACAGTTGTTTGACCTTAATCAATAGCTTTCCATTTCTGTATAGAGTTTCAGGGTAGATAAGATCTGAACTGCTAATGTAAAATGCAGGAGATTTTCTAACAAAGCTTCTAGGTCTTCTTCATTCAGCAGAAAAATGTAAAATAGGGGCACCCAGCTGTAATGTTTCCCCCCGTGTGGGACACCTTTTTAAATAACCTAACTCAAAGGGCCACTGCACAAGGCCAAAATTCCAGCTCAATCACAGTAATAAAGAAAAGGACCTAGGGGCAGCCTTTCAGCAGCACTCAGGACCTGATTTCCAAGTGTTCAGCACCCACCATGCAGACCAGATTTTCCAGAAGGGCTCAGCACCCAGAGGTTGCTACAGTGATACTTATGAGCAAATATGCAAAAAAGCACAGCACCCTATGTGCTAAAACCTGGCCCAGTTGAGGGTGCTGAGCCCATCTCAAAATTCCAGCCGGGCCCACTCCCTTCCCTTTGTACTAAACCCCATGGTCCTTCTCACATGCAGCAGAGCAGACCTAGGGGATCTGCCATTTTACTGTCCACGTCCATTCCCCCTACTGCACGGGCGCCAACTCCTCCATCAGAGGGGAGGATGTTAGTCTGACTCTGCCAGTTCTAACTCACAAGGCATGGGGGAGGATGTTTTAACGCCCCCTCCTCCCCCCCCCCCCCCCAAAGATCTGTCACTCTGAGAAGCAGCTAGTGATGGTCGCTGTCAGCAGGAGGATGCTGAGCTAGATGGACTGTGGGGCTGCTGCAGGCTGGCGTTGCCCACCTTCCTATGTCCATAGGGATCGGTCTTGGGCTGACCAGTCTAGATTGGACCAAGCAATGCTTAAGCTGTCGACAAAAGCCATTATCCCAAGTGCAGAGTAAGCCCCACTAGGGGTTAACCCCCCAACCCTGACAGCTTGCTGCCCTGCTGCTAGCTGTTGAAATAAAGTAGAATACTTGTGTCTGTGCTTCCATCCCCCGCTGTGCTTGACAACACGTGTCCCCCTTATTCTCCGGTGGGCTGGTGTTGAACTCACTCATGGTGCCAGTGTTAGAATGAGGTTGTGCTGTTAAAACGGGGGAGGGTGTTGAACTCCGCTCACCCTACACACACCAGCGGGACAACCAGTTGATCACCCGTTCCAGAGGGGCTGAGAGGGAGCCAGCTGAAAACACAGCTGAAAATCCTAGTGCAGACACAGCCCTGGCTGTCGTGGCTTAAGGGCTTGTTTTCTCGGCCCTGGCTGGTTTGGATTGCCCTGGGGGTTTAGCTTTGGATCCAGGCATCCCTGCCCTTTCTAATTTTTAAATAGGAATTTACTCATATCATGTAAAATGCCTCTTGCTGCTTCTTATTGAAAATGGATCCTGGAAAAATCAGCTCTGAGGGGCAGACAAAACAACAAGGGTGATGGGGGGACGTGACAGGAAACCTCTACTCTGAGCACACGGTAGCTCTTCCCTTCTGGGAGAGAGAACACGCAACACCACTCTCCAAAACAAGAGAAACCGTCCCTCCCAAAGCAGCTTTTCCCACCTCTGTTCAATGTTGCTGAGAGTTTGATCATTTTGAAGAGGGGAACAAGCATGCTTCTGAAATCAGCCTCTCCTGCCTGCTGCTGCCACCCTTGTAGCAACAAGTCTGTGCCCAAGGACCAGCCCTCCCCAAAGTCAATTCTCTGGCCCTAGATTCTAACACCCATAGGTACTGGAACTAGGGGTTATGTAGGTGCTTCAGCACCCTGTGGCTTGAAGTGGTTTCCATTATATACAGGGTTTACAGTTTGGTTCAATGGCTCTCAGCACCCCCACTATATAAATTGTTCCAGCATGCCTGCTGACACCCCTGTATGGGACGGTGCATGATCGAGGACCAGGCTTCCCTCAAACCAGCTCCTTCGTGCGCCCCAGAATGAGGGACCATCAGGGAATAAATAAGTAGATAAACCAAAATGTTACCTGCCAAAAGGAGAAAGTCAACCAGGCAGGGCTGTCTGGTCACGCAGCACTGGAGAAAGCCGAGTGTGTAACTAGTACCAGTTGCATAAGGGTGTTATTTACCCCTCTCTCTCTCTCTGTTTTTGTTTTGGTGAATTAGTCTGAAGGTCAAAGAAATATTCTCAAGGAGTGGCTTATACCAGGAAGTAAATTATTACCCTGCCATTGCTCTAAGGGGACACAGAGGTCCTGGAGAGCCACTCAGGGGGTGGGGTGGGGAGGACAAATCTCCTGCTGAAGAATTAGAGGGCAGCTCACCACAGAGGAAAGAAGTGAAAAAGGTCTGAACAAAGTGCTCTGTTTTCCGAAGGCAGGT